AAATAACGTCTATAGTGCTAATTAAAAAGTAACACTTTTTCCTCAATGGATGCAAAAGTGCAATAGTGAAAAGGAAATAGTGGACTATCAAATGCTAATTAGCCGGCCAAGAAATGGTCCTATTCTTTTGGATAAAGAGTCTCTTTATATATCCTTAAAATAATTCATTTTCGATAGACAAATTTGTTGGATTTGTTTGTTTAAATTTTCCTTTCACCAAAAGTCATAATTGGGTTGGCTTCTTCTATACTTAACACCCTCTTTTAGTTAGTCAATTTTAAAAGGAATTGATATTCCTTCCGATTTAATTTATTTGACTAATTTTAATTTGACATGAAATTTTAAAAATTATAATAAGTTGTTGAATTTTACGATCTTAAATTAATTATATATAAGACATATAAAAATATCTTTTAATCTTATGATTAAACATGTTAGGTAAAAATTTAAAATTAATTATCATAAATTATTTTTTAAAAAGAATTAAACTTTTTAAAATGGATTTAAAAAATGAGAAATAATAATTGAAGGAAGGAGGGGAGAGGGGAGTGCTTTATTTATTAAGTACAAGTACAAATTTAATTTATAAATAAGAAAATATTAATATCATATTTTTAGACAATATTTTTTAAACATTTTCTTTCATTTTAAATTAATGGTTTTGATATAATTTAAATAGATTGAATTTAATATCATATTCTTATCACTTAAACTATTGCATCAGCCTCTAATTTAATTAAATACGTATACGCCATGATAAGCTATTAAGTAATAGGCGTTAATCGTCATTAGCAGTGACTTGATGTATTTATCAATTTTGTTTAAGTATATGATATTCTTATTGATAATATTCCTTTTAATCATTATAACAATTTGAAAAGAGTGAAAACATATACACCTGCAATATGTGTTGCACAGGAAAAAAAAACTATGTATTTTAGCCTGTCATAAGATTAAAAAAAATTGTTATCACATTTTTCTTTATTCATTTTTTTATCGATAAGGTTAGTATTAGTAAATTAAAGATGTAATTACTACACAAAAAATAACTTTTAAACGTTAATAAATATATAAATTAATAAAAAGTGTCAAAGTCTTTATACGAGCATCAATTAATTGATAATATTGGATCTAATGTCATTAAAGCTTTAAGGATATATATATATATATATATATATATATATATATATATATATATATATATATATATATATATAAAGTTCTAATTATGTCGCTATTAAGTTGTTGTCGTTAATTAACTGCTGCTAATTTATTTTTGATATATTGAACATATATATAAACGTATTCTCGAAATTGCTTTTAGATGAAATTTTTGTGTCCTTTAGTTTGGTATACACAAGTAAATATTTAAATTGGTCTAAAGTTGAACAAATAGACACATGTATTTTACATGGCGTCCTATGTGATAGTTGTTTTATGTCACGTAGGACACATATGTCAACTTTATACAAATTTTAATGGGTATTTGTGTAGACCCAAATTTAAAATGCACATAAACATTAGAAAAAATCAAATTAAAATGTATATTTATATTTATATCTAAATTAATTTATACGAACAAAATATTTTAAGAATTTTAGTTGTCATTTAATCATAAATTTTTGTTTGTTATGAAATTTGAAAATCTAATCTTCCAATATTTTCAACATTTGGAAAATTAGCCCAGTCCAATTTTTGAAGGAAATTTTATTTTCACACTTACAAAACAACAATTTTTTTTCCAAATAAAATGTATTATAACTTAAATAACTCAAATTTTCAAACTTTCGAAAGTTAAAGCCGGAGTTTTGAATATTAACTTATTTAGAATTAACCTCTTAAACATAGACCCACACAAGGAGATAGGAGTTAGGACTTTAAATTTTTAATATAAAAGGCATAGTGCATCAATTTTTTTTCAAGATGATATATATATGCTGTTTAAGTGGCTCACCACAAATATAAAGAAAGTGATTTATACAAGACCAACACCTGGAATATGAAAAGTTCAAATTCATCATACTTTATTGGAAAATCAAATTTATTAGGAGGGGACACTGTGGCACTATTTATATATTTATCCAGAAATATTTTATATCTAATTTTGGCTATTTCTTTAGTGCAATTATTTTTGGCAAGTGGCAACTTTTTAACAAGTTGTTTGGCAAACTTCATTGCCTTTAGATAGGGTCGCGTGCCATGCACCACTTCTTAGGCGCCTACAATTATACGCATTAATCTCGAGTAGAAAATATTTGAAATTTCAAAATAAATATGTATAATTAAATATGATAGTATATATTTTGTAGTCAACATAATTACATAATAAACAAATATGAATTTAAACACAAATAAGTTTCAAAATTTACATCGAAGATGTCTCGTTGAAACATTATATTAGAAATTGAGATGTTCAATTAGAACGTTACTTGGTTCAGGTGTCTAAAAGGAATATTTTGATAGATTTAAAGGGATGAGCAGATATTAAACGATAGGTAAAAGTTTCAAAATTTATATCGAAGATGTCTAGTTGGAACATTAATTAAGAATTGAGGTGTGTTCAATTAGATTATTACTTAGCTCAAATGTCTAAAAAAAATATGTTGATAAATTTAAAGAAATGAATACATATTAAACTATAGATAAAGGCATAAAAAAATTTAATTATATACTAAGAAAAATAAATTCTATAAATTTATTCGTAAAAAATAGAATAGTATGTAGATAGTGAAGCTAGAATATAATTGAATCAATACAACAATGCCCTTTATATAGGTTTGTTCTAGCATGTAGCTTTGGATTCACAAAACTAGTATGGAGTTTTGGAGACAAACATCTAATTATTTAAATCTTCATCAAATTTAGAAGTCCAAATTTTAATGAAAACAAATAAAGGTTAATATTTATATAATTTATTTTACCTTCTATTTTACAGATAAATTTTTTCATAGATTATGTAAATATTAATTATATATAATTACCAAAACTCAATGAAACATCATATAAAATTAATACTTGAATAACTTTAATTTGATACATAAACCTACCAACCAAACGCATAAAATTAAAATATATAAATAACTTTTACTCTATTCATAAATCATCAAATAATAGATAAAATATAAACACAAATAAATTAAGAGAAATTGTAAGATATAGCAAACATAATAGATAAAAAAAGGCTCTAAAATTATAATTTTGATAACTGCACTCCGTAGCTATAATTCATTTTCTATGGAGGCTGTGATTTGTATATTTCTGTCCGTTTGTATAATATTTCGCTTGCAAATATATAAATAGGATAAGTATATACAAATTATGTATTTATATATTTAGAAATTTTTCAGAACTCCTTTTCTACATTTCTTTTGTCAAATATGCAAACATGATAATTTATTATGAATTTTCATAAATAATAGTATACAAGTAGTTATAGGATAAACATATAGAAAAATTTGAATTTATACAATCAAACAACGAACTAATTACAATTTTCTTTAGCTCTAGTTATAGTTCATAATATAGGCTAAATATTTGTTATTTTGCATAATTTTCTCATAATTTAACTTGAAACAAGCCGATTTAGAGAACTACTATTCACTTCTCTATTAATAGAGTATAGAAAGTAATATAAAAGAGCATTGAGGTTATCATTTGCTATTTTACAGAAAATAAAACGTAAAATAGAAATGAATCGGAAAGGGATACTGCACAAGTTCCCTCTCAATTTATGCCCGAAATCTTAGCGACACACTTATACTATACTAAGATCTTATTACCCCTGAACTTATTTTATTAATAATGTTCTACCCCTTTTCGGTCTACGTGACATTATCTTATGACTTCAATGCTGATTAACTTTTTTTTTAAGTTAATGTCATGTAGGCCGAAAAGTGATAAAAAATTACTTATAAAATAAGTTCAAGAATGTAAATAGAACCTTAGTATAATATAAGTGTATCTCTAAAATTTCAATACAAAGTGATAAGGTACTTCTACATTTTCTCGAATTGAAAATGATATTAGATATGCATAGATTGGGTATCATCACGCAACACAAAGGAGAGTGTAAAGAAGTAACCAATAATGTATAGAGCAATGGATAAGAATTTATCAATTTTGTTCCACATACAATCCTAGTCATAAATGATAAAACTACAATCTACAAAAATCTCCATTCCCCACATACAGCAAATACCTTTTGACTTGTTCTACAAACACAAACATCAAACCCAAAACTATTGTGTATATACCATCAGAGACTGACACCTTAACCTCTTCAAACATCCACCTTCCTATATACACCAATACTATTCACACCCTTATATGGAAATTCCATGATTTTCTATGTTTTTCCATTTTTCACGTTTTCTCCATCTTAATTTATTGTGATATGTTTTGTGAATTTTTCCTTTGAGATTTAATATTTTCTTTGTATCATTTTGTTTGATGATATTTATTTTGATATCATATTTTTAAAATTTATGAATTAAAATAATTTTTAAATATTTTATATAATTATAAATTATTTTATTAATAATTTAAAAAAATGAAATTTAAATTATTTTTAACTATAGTAAGATGACATTTTTTAGAAACAGATCAAGAAAGAAAGATGCGCATAAAATGAAAAAAATGAGTATGTGATATTTTTTATTTAATATTTTCTAACCACAAAATTTATAAGATTATATACATTTTTAAATCTAAAATCATAAGTTTCATTTTATTTTTTAATTGTGTGTACAACAAACCTCTATCTCAAATTATATGACTTGTTTTTCTTTATTGTCAATCTAAAAAATAATGACATATTTTTATATTCAACTACAAATTTTTACGATAAATAGAATGAATTATAGTCATATGAATATTTATTTCAAAAATTTTAATATCAAATTAAATTACGTCACATAAATTGAAGCATCAAAATTTCAAATTGGTTAGGCATAGAAAGTATATTTTTAAAGTTAGCGTTAGCACATTACTCAACAACTCAGGAGTAATTTCTCTCTCTAACTAGTCTCTTTTTTTAGAGTCATGGGCGCTAATGTTTCTTCTTCCATTGACTCAACACAAAATAAATTATCAAAATCAAAAAAACTCGAAGATATACCTGAGGCCTGCGTTGCTCTAGTATTATCTTATTTAAATCCGTCGGAGATTTGCATGATGGCCCGAATTAATCGGGCCTTTCATGCAGCTTCTTCGGCGGATTTTATCTGGGAATCCAAATTGCCTTCTAATTATAAGTATATTCTTCACGAATTACTTGGCCTGAGTGTCACCGGGATAAGCAAAAAGGATATTTTTGCTAAGCTTTTCAGGTCTAATTCTTTTGATGATGGAACAAAGGTTAGTTTGAAAATTTTCTTATTTGATAAATTTTTAAAGGGAAAAAAAAGGATAAAAGAACTATCGTAAATGGTATGCGGATACTCTCTGTCATATTTTAGGGACATTGGTGTCCCTATCGTCCAAAAACTAGAGTATATATACCTTTTATACTAACAGACATACACGTGGCACAATCTTATCCTTCGACCCGACATCGGATCGATGAATAAAATTGTGTCACGTGTCTCTATTTAGTCTTCCTTCCGTTAGAGCAAAAGACATATACGATCTAGTTTTTGAACGATAGGAGCATAAATATATCAAAAGTATGACGAAAAGTATGTAAATGCAATTTACGATAGTTCGAAAGTATATTTATAATTTTTCCCAAATATACTATTTTAAGAAAAAGTTATCGAGTTTGACTGAAGTCAAGAAATTTTTTATGGTTATAGGAAATATGGATTGATAAGAATAATGGAGGAGTTTGCTTGGCAATTTGTTCGAAGGGAATGAGGATTACTGGTATTGATGATCGGAGATATTGGAATTATATTTCCACGGATGAATCAAGGTGGGTTATAGTTATTAATTACTATATATATTAGTCTCAATCTATCTAAAAGAAACTAGATAGATAAATAAAAAGATATTATTTTTATTTTGTGTTTTTATTTGAGATTTGAACTCGAATTCTTTATAAAATTTTGGCGTAAAAAACTTTTGAAGATTATTAATAGTCATAATTATTCAATCTGGTTATTAGCTTTTACATGACCTCCTCATAAATCTAATCTCGTGAATATTTTCTAAATTAATTTATTTTTACCACTTTTTTGTAATAATGGTAAAAATAATGAAATTTTAGCCAATTATTTTTGCCTGAAAGGAAAAAGTTATCTTATCAAAGTAGATTCTCATTTCATTTGAAAAAAGATTTATGTGTTAAAAAAGAACAAACTCTAGCCAAATACCTTTTTCATATATAAATTTGTCCACCAAATAGTTTGAAATAATTAACATTGGATCTAAATAAGATATTTACGCAATTGCAATTTCATTTTTTAAATATAGTAATAATATCTAAAGAGAAGAAATACACCGTTAATAATTCATTATTATTAACAAAACTAATTTTATTTGACTAAAATGATAGAGATCAAGCCAAGTGTTATTGTCTAACTCATTTTATTAAAAGTAACGTGTAATAGGTCACGTATATATGCTCCCTTTTTTTTTTATGGAAAAAAGAAAGTGATACTTTATTAATAATAAAAGGAGAAAAGGCAATAGATAAAAACACAAGTTGAGTGTTTCTTTTTTTCTTTTGAGATGCAGTCTATTTCAATAAATAAAATAAATAAGTTTAAAAGGTTCCTTAACAGGAAAGAAGCATATAATAGGGATTTAAAAGTCAGACTGAGTATATTTTTGTTTTATTTCAATAATTTATTGGCATTGTGCATATAAAAAATTATTATATTTATCAATTTTCGATTAAATATATTTTAAAATGAAGTATAGTTGAAACTAGGATTTAAAAAGTGAACAAATGAATTAACTAACTTCCTCTTTTCATAAATGAATTTAGTATTTTAATTCAACAACTTTCATTATTATATGAAGTTATGGACTAAATCAACAGAATAATTACTACTACAAATAAGGCAAGAGCTGAATTATATAAACAAGATTCTATTTCAATTTTATATTTCACTAAATTATGCTCTTTGTTTTAACTCTACACTATTAAATTTATTTTATATACACGAGGCTCTATCCTTCACCTGGCTGTTAAGGGTTCGATTCTTCACCTTATAATCTCCTTTCCAAGTTCCCTTGGTGAGGGTTCGATTCCCCATCTTATAATTCACGATAGACTGATTGATTGACCACTATTTTCTTATAGGTTTCAAACTGTTGCATATCTTCAACAAATGTGGTGGCTTGAAGTTGGTGGAGACCTTGAGTTCCAATTCCCAGTAGGGACATATAGTCTATTCTTTAGACTTCAGCTAGGCAGGGTCACGAAGAGGCTAGGGCGTCGAGTCGTCTATAACTCAGAACACGTTCATGGTTGGGACATAAAACCAGTTCAATTTCAATTAACAACATCAAATGGTGAACGTGCCATATCTCGTTGTTATTTGGACAACGTAGGTACATGGACACATCATCATGTGGGAGATTTTGTAGTTGAGGATCCCATGATCATGACAAAAATAAGATTTTCATTGACACAAATAGATTGTACACATACTAAAGGTGGTCTATGTGTAGATTCTGTTTTAGTTTGTCCAATTAGTTTAGCAAAAGTGTTGAGGTCTTTTGATAGTTTGATAGTTACCAAATGATCATATCATGTTTTGGCATATAGTAGAGAAATCATGAGTGTATATGTATAGTTTGGTTTTAGTATATGTTGTTTGTTTCTTGTATATATTGATTTTATGTTTTTCTTTATTATTGCAATTTTTGGATCTTAGAGGAATGTATGTACATTATTATTGAGTTTTTTCACAAAGTGAATTGAATTTTGATTTTCTTTTGGTTGTTCAAGAATCAAGATGATTGAAGCACTTGTGTATATTTATATCAGTCAAAATAATGAACTATATGTATCAAGAATACACATATATTTGTAAATCTAGTAAGCAAAATTGGGTGAGGAGGGAGAGATGATCGTGATTGGGAGAGGAATAAGAGAGGCGAGAGAGACATAGAGACTAATTGTATTTATATATCGGTTAAATTATTGTATATTATATATATGCATTTGTATATATGACAAGCGAGATTGGGAGAAAGAAGACAGAGGCGAGAGGCAAGTGAGACAGGGCAGAGATACATATACAAATGTGACTAGTTATACAAACTCAAAGTTAGCCCACGTAATTGATGTATAATATTAGTTGTGAGTGGTAATTATAGCAAACTATAACTATAATGAGTAATTAAATTATATAAATTTGCTAAACAGCATAATATATATATATATATATATATATATATATATATATATATATATATCATCAATTGCTGTATCTTATAACATTTGAAGCTCAGCAAAATGCATTTAAAAGTATTTGTGTTAACATCAACGTGAAACATGTACCACTCTTGGACATTTCATCAACTAAGGATACAACTTTTTAAAAGTGATTTCGATTTTTGTATCCCTTGTATTAACATTGAATATGTAGTGTGATCAAAAGAATATTCTTTTAGCTTCATATTCTTGAGGATATCACTTGCTGAATCCAATATGCCATGTCTTCAATTTATGAGCTGGAACAATTCTACATTATATTCAACACTTCATGACTTGTACCATCTCTGTTAATACAACATGTTTTTCAAGAACATAGATCTTCCTAGGCTAAAAAGAGGTAGGCATTATGAACAAGTCAAAGTTGACAGAATTTATTTGATACAAAGTGGATCATCATTCCTAGATCAGTAGGATAAATTATAGTTTACCACAACAGATCGAGACAAACATCAAATCAACTGTTAGCGGAAACGTGAAATTATAGAACAAGGAAGAATAACAATATTTAACGTGGGTCGGATCAAAATGATCCTACGTCCACCAAAGAACAACTGCACCAATATTTATTTCAGTCTACAAAGAATACAAGTGAAATACTATAAGAGAGAGAACTCAAATGCCTTAGAAGGTGAGAAGGCAGGTGAGAAGATGATTTGAAACTAAATTAAGGAGCTACCTATTTATAGGAATAAATTCATTCTATTAATGTCATCCATGACATTACTATATGTCAAAAATGTCAAGGTTAAGAATATGAAACCATTTTATGGTTTTCCTAAACTTCACCTACCAATACTATCTTTGAAACTCTGCTTCTGCCGGAGAAGCACACGAAAAGGAATAAAAGTAAATTCAAATCTCAAGCAGAACCACAAGAAATAAAAACGGAAACACTAAATCCGAAGTAAACATGTCTTTTATTAAACAAAACCTATGTTAAGCTTCACCCAATAAGATTTAAGTTCTCCAATGAAACATAACCAGTGCATTTGCTGGCTAAATCTAGCGGTATATTAGCTTAAATCTTATAATTGCACGTCATCCATCAAAAGCAAGAATGGATGCTAAAGTTAAAATCCATAATGATTCTAGTGATGTGAATAGTATATCATGTTCGATAACTTGACTTATTTTCAATTGGCAAGACCAACTTACATTCACAAGAAATCAACATATTGTGAGTTCACCGAAGAGATCTATCTATACAAAGGTTTTTTTCATTGATTTAAGCCTAAGTGATATTAATGATCAAATGATCATCATCCTTTTTCTGTTGTAAGTCATCGAATTAATAGTTGTATGCATAGAATTTTTTTGCACTTGATAGGAAAACATAAAGCTGATCATGAGGGGAAAAATAGGTTCACTGTGTAGAAAAATAACTTAATCTCTTCAAATTTTAAAGGCATAATCCAATCTGATATCAAGGATATATGGTTATCTCAACGAATGATATTTGTCAGGCTACGAGTGTCCAAATAAAGAGTGTTAGATAATTGAAATGTTCCCTTGCAGAACATAATTGTTATCTCCCATAATGTTTCTGTAAGGCCAAAAAAAATGAAGACTCCAAAAAAGGGAGTTTACATTCAGATGAAAACGTCACACATTATAGGGACTCCAAAGTAGAGTTTAGTATTATTTCATTGTTATTTGTAGTTTTGATGATTTGACAAACCTGGGGACCTTATAAAGGTACCAGTTTCTAAATCGTATGTTGCAGGGCTCTTGCTTGAGTATTGCAGATGAAACTAACTCAGGGACCTAGTAGAGGTACCAGGCTCTCATGATGAGGAGCCAGTTGATTGCCAGCTGGAGACGGTACAGAAAGTAGGTGCACACTTTCCGATGGCGTCAGAAAGTGTGACTCTTCCAGCCAATGGCAAAGAAGTTTGGGAAAGTGACTTACTCATATAAAAGACACTTTCCTAAGCATTTTTGCTTAGTTTTTGCAACTTGATAAAAACTTTTCAAGAACTCTTGCAAAAGCTAACACAAAGCAAAGACAGAATTATTCCAAGAACAATAGCAATATCTGGAGCTTTTCGTTTAGTTGTTTAGGAATACATTCTCTTGTTCTTAAACTGTAAACCATTCCTGAATCTATAAAGGATTTGGTGTGTTGTGTTAAAAGTCTAGGTTGTCCAGGTGGGATAGCTTAGTGGGTAGATTGTTTTCTACTTAGGCTTGTTAAGCAATAGAGGGCTATTGCTTAACTGTAAGATTGATAATTCTTTCTTACGTTTGGTGTAATCGTGTTTTGCTTTTGCTTTTGAATATTAGTGAAAACGATTGAAAATCCTGTGAGACAGGTCGTGGTTTTACTCCCTTAAGCAAGGAGGTTTTCACGTAAAATTATTGTGTTGATTTTACTGCATTTAACTTTCTGGTAATTTTCTGGAGATTAGTAAGGGACCTGGTCCATTATTTGTTAAGTGAAGGCTCATATTCTATCAAGTGGTATCAGAGCAGACACTATCTATTTGGTTAACACCAAGGAAGTAACATTTGCTCTAGAATGGCAGCTCCACTTAACCTGGAAGAAGGTCAGTCATCACACAGACCTCCTCGTTTCAAGGGACATTTCTACAGTTGGTGGAAAGTTAGAATGCATGACTACCTCATGGCTGAAGACAGCGAGTTATGGGATATTGTACTAGATGGACCATTTGTTCCGATGATGGAAGAAAAGGATGGAGAGAAGACCATTACTGTTCCAAAGCCTAGGCAGAAATATGACGAAGCTGACAGGAAAAAGATTGAAAAAGGTTTCAAAGCTAAAACTCTTCTGGTCTGTGGGATAGGACCTGATGAGTACAACAGAGTGTCAGCCTTTGAGTCTGCTAAGGAAATTTGGGATTGCTTGAAGACTGCACATGAAGGAACTGAGCAAGTCAAAGAATCTAAGATTGACATGCTTACCTCACGATATGAGAACTTTAAGATGAAGGAAGGAGAAACAATACATGACATGTTCACCAAGTTTTCTTCCATTACAAATGAACTGCGGAGTCTGGGTGAATCTATAAGCATGAACAAACAAGTCAGGAAAGTGCTTCGAATTCTTCCAAAGTCTTGGGAGAGCAAAGTTGATTCCATTACAGAAGCCAAGGACTTGAAGGTGCTGACTATGGATGCTTTGATTGGTCATCTGAAAACACATGAGATGAATCGAAACTATGACTTGTCAAAGAAGGAAGCCAAGAAGGACAAATCATTGATGCTGAAGTATAAATCAGATGAAGATTCAAGTGATGATGATGATATGGCATATCTCATTAGTAGATTTCAAAAAATTGTGAGGAAAAACAAAATTTATAAAAGAGGAACAAACGGGACTCGAAATGCTGCTCAAGGTGATACTTGCTACAAGTGTGGAAAATCTGGGCACTTCATCAGAGATTGTCCTTTGCTCAAGAATGAAAACAAGGAACATCAAAAACACAGGAGTGACAAAGAAAATAGAAGGAACCTGGTACCTGGTAACAGAGATCGTAAAGCTGCTGCTGATATGGTTATAAAAAGGGCTCTTGCTGCTTGGGGGATTCTTCAAGTGATTCAGAAGATTCTGATGAGCCAAAAGATGTATCTATGGTTGCTGTGCATGAGGAGGAAACTGTCTTCAATGAAATGTTTGCTCTTATGGCACACAGAGAAAATGAAGAAGAGGACAATCAGGTAACTCTTCTTGACATGAAAAATGACTTGGATAAATATTCTCTTAAAAAATTGAGAACTTTGGCAAAAGTCATGCTAGATTCTGTGATAGAGTTAACATCTGAAAGAGATACCATGAATGCTGAACTTGAAATTTTAACTGAAAACAAAGTTCAATTTGAAGAGACTATGTCAAGAATGGTGTCTCTAGAGTCAAATAACTCTGAATTTAAGAACCAATTGTATCAGATTACTGAAGAAGCTGAAAAACTGAATGGAAAGTCAAATAGTTTGCAAGCTGAAATTCAAGAAAAATTGAAAAACTCTGAGACAAATTTTAGTCTGTCAATTGAAAAGAGTAACAAATTAGAACAAGATATTGTGAAACTTAAGGAAGAACTTGAAAAATCTCTTAAGTGGACCAAATCCTCAAAGTTGCTGTCAAATGCGACAAATCAGAGTAATTTCAATAAGAAAGGACTAGGAAGTCTGAACATAAGTCCTCCTTATAATCCTCACAGTAAGTATGTGTTTGTGTCTGACAATCTCCTGTGTCTTCATTGTGGTAAGATTGGACATTTGAAGAATGAGTGTGTTAGCTGGAGAAACCGTGTGAAAGGTACTCTAATTATGCTGAAAGACAAAATGTATCAAAAGAGAGACCTGGTCCTATAGAGCCTGTCTCAACTCACAGATTCTCAAAGAAAAAATCTGTTACTGCTCCTATGTTTTTTGCTAGAAAGCTTCAAAATCTACCATATTGGGCCAAGTAAAATCTGGTCATTCCTTGTCTGCCTACTGGGAACTCAAGTTGAAATGGGTTCCCAAGCTTAACAAGTGATTTTTGGTGCAGGCGAGTGAGAGGAGCAGCAGTCAATATTGGTATATGGATAGTGGTTGCTCTAAACATATGACTGGTGATGTAAAGAACTTCCTCTCACTCAAGACCCTCCAAGGAGGAGGTGTCTCATTTGGTGATGGCAAGAAGGGGTACATTTTGGGAGTTGGCAAAGTAGGAAGATCTCTTGAAGATTCAATTGACAATGTTTACCATGTGGATGGGTTGAAGTGCAGCTTGCTAAGTGTGTCACAAATCTGTGATAAAGGAAATGAGGTCAAGTTTACTTCTGAGAAATGCACTGTGGTGAGTTTAACTACAAACAAAGTAATTCTCACTGCACACAGAAGTAAAAATATGTATGTGGAAAACTTGGAAATCTCTCATGGAGATGACTTAACATGTCTTAGTGCTCAAAATGAAAATGTTGATCTCTGGCATCGTAGGCTGGGACATGTGAGTTCATCTTTATTGAACAAGTTGATTTCTAAGGACCTGGTCCGAGGTTTGCCCAAAATGAAGTTTGCTGAAAATAAAATATGTGAAGCTTGTGTTAAAGGAAAGCAAATCAGATCATCATTTAAGCCCAAGAATCAGGTAACATCATCAAGAACCTTAGAGCTGCTTCATATGGACCTTTGTGGACCCTTGAAGGTTCAAAGCAGAAATGGTAAGAAGTACATTTTGGTAATTGTTGATGACTATTCAAGATACACCTGGACGAGATTCTTGAGATCAAAGGCAGATACAACTGATGAGCTGGTGGTATTCTTCAAAATGATTCAAACCAAATTGAATCAAGTTGTTTGCAGCATTCGATCTGATCATGGGACAGAGTTTGAAAACTCAACACTGGATAGATTCTGTATGGAAAATGGTACAAGCCACAATTTCTCTGCTCCAAGAACTCCTCAACAAAATGGAGTAGTGGAAAGAAAGAACAGAACCTTGGTGAACATTGCCAGAACTATGATTATTGAATCAAATCTTCCTCAAAGTTTCAAGTCTGAAGCTGTTAACACAGCATGTCATGTTACCAACAGGTGTCTAATAAGAGCTGTGCTGAATAAGACTCCATACGAACTGCTCAACAACAGGAAGCCACTACTGAGCTATCTTAGAGCATTTGGATGCAGATGTTTTGTGCTAAATAATGAGAAGGATGATCTGGGAAAATTTGATCCCAGAAGTGATGAAGGAGTATTTGTTGGATATTCTTCATCCAGCAAAGCCTACAGAATATTCAACAAACGAACACAATGCATTGAAGAAAGCATTCATGTTGTTTTTGATGAAAATGGAAGCTTGAAGAATGATGGACCAAATGATGATGATGATGTGCTGAAAATGCTCAAATCTAAGAAGATTGAAGGAGATGAAGCTGATGCAGATCAACAACTGAAAAATGATTGTGATGATCAGAATCACAGTCTACCTGAAGAGGATGCTGAGGTTGAACAGGATGACATGGTACCTGGTACTACTCAAAACTTCAGCCAGAGTACATCAGACTCCCCAAAAGATGATGTCACTCTTGATGAAGAAGATCATGCTGATCTGCCATATCAGTCTGCCGCAAAGTCAGGATGGAAGCATAGTTCATCACATCCTCTTGATAATCTCATTACTCCCTTGAATTCTGGAATTCAAACTAGATCAAAAACAAGAAATCTAGTTGCGTTCTGAGCATTCACATCATCCATTGAGCCTAAGAATGTTAAAGAAGCATTAGGTGATGCAGATTGGATCAATTCTATGCAAGAAGAACTCCATCAGTTTGAAAGAAGTAAGGTATGGTATCTGGTTCCTCGACCTGAAGGCAGAACAATAATAGGAACTAGGTGGGTATTCAGTAACAAACTTGATGAAAATGGAGTGATTACTAGAAATAAATCCAGGCTGGTGGTGCAAGGATACAATCAAGAAGAAGGAATTGACTATGATGAGACTTTTGCACCTGTTGCCAGAATGGAAGCTATTAGAATCTTAATAGCTTTTGCTGCTTTTATGGGGTTCAAGCTATATCAAATGGATGTGAAGAGTGCATTTCTGAATGGAGATCTCAAAGAGGAGGTATATGTCAAGAAACCTCCTGGTTTTGAAGATGCAGAGCTACCAAATCATGTGTTCAGATTGAATAAGGCACTACATGGTCTGAAACAAGCTCCAAGAGCATGGTATGAAAGGTTGTTAAAGTTTCTGCTGAAGAATGGTTTCAAAAGAGGCAAGATAGACAATAGTTTGTTCTTATTAAAAAGAGAACAAGAATTGCTTATCATTCAAGTTTATGTGGATGACATAATTTTTGGAGCTACTTCAGAACATCTCTGTGAAGAATTCTCATCACTGATGGGAAGGGAGTTTGAAATGAGTATGATGGGTGAGTTGACATTCTTCCTGGGGCTGCAAATCAAGCAATCATCAAATGAGATTTCAATATGCCAGGAAAAGTATATCAAAGAGCTGCTGAAGAAATTCAATATGTTTGATTCTAAACCTATTGATACTCCTATGGGAACAAATTCCAAGATGATAGTAGAAGAATCTGATCCCCTTGTGAATCAGACAATGTACAGAGGAATCATTGGCTCCTTGTTATATCTGACTGCTAGCAGGCCTGATATTGTGTATAGTATTGGAATGTGTGCCAGGTTTCAAGCATGTCCTCGTGATTCTCACCTGAAGGCTGCAAAACGTATTCTTAGATACTTGAAGAAAACAGGGGACCTGGTTCTCTTCTATCCTGCAGGTGATACTTTTGATTTAGTTGGTTTTGCAGATGCTGATTTTGCAGGTTATCAAGTTGATAGGAAGAACACCTCTGGATTGGATCATTTCCTTGGATCATCACTTATCTCTTGGGGTACCAAGAAGCAGAACTCTGTGGCTCTTTCAACTGCTAAAGCTGAATATGTAGCGACTGCAGCCTGTTGTTCTCAATTGTTATGGATCAGGCAACACTTAGAAGATTTTGGAATCCACATCAAAGTAATTCCTCTTATGTGTGACAATACTAGTGCTGTTAGTATGGGAAAGAACCAAGTCCATCATAAGAGAACAAAACACATTGATGTTAGACATCATTTTTTGAGAGATAATGTTGAGAAGGGAAATATTGTGCTCACATATTGTCCAACGGAGGAACAGATTTCATACATTTTCACCAAGGCTCTCAGCAAGGATCAATTTGAGAGGAATCGGTTAAAGTTGGGGATGTTGATCTCCAAGTGATGCTTTTAGCCTCCAACAGTGGAACTCCCTTGATGGCTAAAATTGCAATGCAGGTATCCTTTGTGTGAATTTTTAAATATCTGAACAAGATCTCTTTTTGTATCTTTAAATAGGTATACTCTCAGTAGGGACCTGCTCAGCAAAAGAAGAGACTAGAACAATTAAGGAATGAAGTTAAACTCTATCATGGTACCTGGTACCTGTCCAGGTTAGCATTTTTACATTAAATTTAAACTGAAAAAATTTGACCTTTGAAAATGCCACGTGTCAGTCATCGGTTACTCTGACCGATCAGTCCAATTGTTTCTCCCTCAAACGATGCATCAAATCAAGGACCTGGCACCCTTTCACTTCTTAAAAATGCCTTTTTCTTTTTGGAACTCTCATCCGTCTCTTAACTTTATCTCTCTCTTTTTATCAAAAGGCTTATCAAATTCAAAGGCAAAATCTGTCTTCTTCTTCCTCTTTTTGCTTTTCAATGAAACCTTCCAGTATCACAAACATGTCTTCCTCTTCATCTTCTTCTAAGCAAATGTTGGATGCCCTTAGTGAAATTGAGCCCCTTGCATTCTATTCTCCAACAACTGCTCAAGCCAGACTTCCTCCCCCACCCAGTCCTCCACAAAATACTCCTGATAAACCTTTCTTCTCCATCGATCTAAACACTTCTGCGTGCCCACTGGACCTGGTCCATTTGAAGACATGTTGTCTGACAACATGTTTGAAGGAGATCTACCAAAACATAGGGCTTCTGAGTCTAATATACTGGCAGCGAGTGAGGAACTCGTGATTGAAAGCCTGACAATGATGCGAGAAGAGGCCAAAGCAGAACACATTGATTCCCTGGAAAGAGAAGAGGTAAGGCCTTCTCAACCCATTTTCGATAAAACCCCCGACTTAGGGAAGTACTCTTCTTCCTCTTCATCTGACTCTGCAAGTGAGGAAGAACCATTAAAATGGAAGGTTGAGAGTCGAAAAGGGAAGGAAAAGGTCGTGGAGGAGGCTCCTAGGAGACGACCTAATACAAGGTCTGCTGCACAAAAATTGATGGTAGATGCCTTGAAGGCAAGTGCACGCTCTGCTATTGCAGTCAGAAGTGCACGAACCTTCAAGGTATCAAATTTTTGAATACCTGAAGAGAAATTGGTTGAGTTGTCGGAAGAAGAGGTTGAAAAGAAAAATAACAAGAAGAAGTCAGAAAAGAAAAGGGAAAGGGTTACAAGGAAGGTTGAAAAGTCACAGTCAAAAGGGAAGAGATTTGAGAAAAAGAGAAAGCGGACACAGGGACCTGGTCCTCAAGCCAGGAAAGTTGAGAATGTCAACTTGCAGGAAGTAGTTGACAGTCTGAGGAAACAAGCAGTTCTCGCCAGAAGAGTTTTTGATATGGGGATTATAACTCTTCCTGGCATGGATTCTCTGCATGACATGGTGGAGATCCAATCTTGGATGCACCTGTTTGACAAGAAATTCCCTATCCTCCATGAAGAAGAGGTTCGTGAATTCTATTACAATGTTCAATTCATGGAAGATGGGAGTCTCCTCACACGGGTAAACAATATTGCCATTTCTTTGGATGAGAAGGTGTTGGGCAAAATCCTCAGAGTGCCTACAGAGGACACCCGGTCTGTGCTGAGCAAAACTTGCTCTTCAGAATTTGCCTCTATAATTTCTAAGACTCCCACAACTAAGGTTGCTGGGATCTATAAGAAAATTATGAAGAGTGAGTATCAGCTGGTATTTGAGTTCGTCAACAAGGTGGTCCTTCCTCGCACAGAAAAGAGGACACTTGCTAATGTTGCTGACCTGTACGTGATGGAGATGCTATGCAGCTTTAAATCTCTGAGCCTTCCTAGTCTAATGATTGAGCACATTCACAAAACCGTCATTGATAGGAAAGGAGTACATGAAATGGGGTATGGATACTTTCTCACTGAAGTATTCAAGCATTTTCATATTCCTCTCAGTGTTGGAAAGGTTGGGACAGTTAAACAAACTATCTCTGAGCATACCTTGTTTGAATGTGAATGTATTGAACGCAGAGGTTTACCAAAAAGCAAGATGGCTCAACTTCTTGAGGACCTGGATCAGCTTAAGGATGAGATTGAAGAACTCACTGTGCGTTTGAGTGGTAAAGAGGCTGAAATTGCTGTACTCAAAGCAGATCTGCTTAATGCACAGAGTGAGGGACCTGGTTCTTCAGTTGCACAAGATTTGGAGAAAGAGAACAATGAGTTGAAGGCGCAGATAACTGCGCTGCAAGAAAAGGCCATCAAGGATAATGATGCTGCCAATGCACGACTCACTCTCGTTATCCAGTCCCTATCTCAAACTCCCCCCTCTTCCTAAACTGTCAATCACTCCTTCCTTGTGTAATTTTTTGTTGTGTGGCTGATCATCGTGTTGATGAATTTTTAGTTTATTTTTAATGTATTTATGTTGAAATGGCATGTTGGTTACTTTATTCCTTTGTTGTTCTTCCTATGTTCTCTTGCGAATGCTCTTCCTCTACTATTTGATTGCTTGTTAAGCTTTGGTCTTGTTTGGTGTTTATGCTCACATCACTGGTTTACTGCGTTTCTTTTTTATGATGCCAAAAGGGGGAAGTAAAACTGTGTGTAACTAAATGATATTTTAGTGAGAGGGAACAAACAGTGAGGGGGAATGTAGTGAGGGGGAATATAAAAAGGGGGAACAAAGTTGAAAGGATATTAAATCATGGTTTCAGTGTTTGTCATCATCAAAAAGGGGGAAAATGTTATTTGTAGTTTTGATGATTTGACAAACCTGGGGACCTTGTAAAGGTACCAGTTTCTAAATCGTATGTTGCAGGGCTCTTGCT